TCTTTTTAGAGAATAAGCAGTTGTTCTAGCCATAAACATGGAATTATCCTGAGCTGCAGTGCTGGCAGTAGGCTTGTGAATAATGGCTTCTGAAGGAGTATAGCATCACTCTCTGGGGTCATACCCAGGGCCTGTGAGCACCTCATCTCCTGGGTCCACAAATTCAAAATGCTATCTTTATTGTTTATTTTCATATATGGGAATATTTTTAGCATTCTATTCTTTCTCACTGATCTATCTCTACTAATACCTAAATCACGTTATCTTTATCATTACTAGCTATTAGTATCTAAGGATATCTAGCCGTCTCTTTATTATTTTTCTTTTTTCTCTTCTTTTTAATAAAGTTTGCTTTTTAGAGCAGTTTTAAGTTCACAGCAAAACTGAGCAGAAAGTACAGAGAGTTCCCACATACTCCTACTCCCACACATGTACATACTCCCTAACATCAACACCCAGCTTAGCACGTTTGCTACAATTGATGACCTACACTGACACATCATTATCACCCAAGTCCAATTTACATCAGGATTCACACCTGGTGTTCTACATTCTGTGGGTTTTCACAAATGTATAATGACTTGTATCCTGCATTGTGTCATACAGAATAGTTTCACTGCCCGTATTAGGGGTCTCCAGAGAAACAGAACCAGTTAGATAGATAGATAGATAGACAGACAGACAGACAGACATATCGGGAGATTTGGTATAGAAATTTGCTCACTTGATTATGGAGGCAGAGAAGACCCGCAGTCTGCCATCTGTAAGCTGGAGAACCAGGAAAGTTGGTGGTGTGATTCAGTGAGTCCAAAGGCTTAAGCACAGGAGAGCAGATGCTATGAGTCTGCGTCCAAAGGTTTAGAAATTGAGGGGCTAATGGTACAAATCCTGGTCCAAGTCTAAAAGCCTGATAAACAGGAACACCTGTGTCCAAGGGCAGGCGAAAATGGATGTCCCAGCTCAAGCAAAGACCACAAAATCACACTTCCTCCACGGTTTTGTTCTATTTAGGCCCTGAACAGACTGGACAGTGCCCACCTGCCTCAGCGAGGGTGATCTTCTTTACTCAGACTACCAACTCAAATGCTAATCTCTTCTGGAGACACCCTCACAGACACACCCAGAAATAATGTTTTATCAGCTATATGGACATCCCTTATGCTAGTCAAGTTGACACATAAAATGAACCATCACACTGCCCTAAAACTCCACTGTGCTCTGCCTATGCGTCACTCTCGTCCCTCTCGTCCCCAAACCCCTGGTAACCACTGAGCCATTTAGGATCTCCATAGTTTTGCCTTTTTCCAGAAGGTGATATAGTTGGAATTATATAGTATATGGCCTTTTCAGAGTGGCCTCCTTCACTTAATAATATGTACTAGTAATATTCATGCAAGTAAAGTAATATTTCACTTAATATTCTGCATGGCTTGGTAGCTTATTTCTTTTTGGTACACATTTCACTTTTAGCTCATTTTCTTTTAGTTTATTTCTTTTTATTGCTGAATAATATTCCATTGTCTGGGGACTTCTCTGGTGGTCCAGTGGTTAAGACTCTGTGCTTCCACTGCAGGGGGCTGGGGTTCGATCCTTGGTGGGGGAACTAAGATCCCACATGCCATACGATGCAGCCAAAAGAAATAAAATTCCATTGTCTGGATGTACCACAGTTTATCTGTTCACCTACTGAAGGACATCTTGGTTGCTCCAATTTTGGACAATTATGAATAAAGCTACTATAAACATCCATATGCAGGATGTTGGGTGGACATAAGGTTTTAATTCGTTTGGGGAAATACCAAAGAGCAAGATTGCTGGACTGTATGGTAAGAACATGCTCAGTTTCATAAGACACTGCCAAACAGTCTTCCAAAGTGGCTGCACCATTCTGCATGCCACCAGCAATGAATGAGAGTTCCTGTTGCTTGTCACCCACATCAGCATTTGGTGTTGTCAGTGTTTTTGATTTTCACCATTCTAGTAGATGTGTAGTGGTATCTTGTTTTAATTAATTGGTTTTTAATTTTGTTTTGTTTTGGTGTGTGTGAAACATTATAATGGTTGTAAGAGTCAGAGCTACACAGAAAGGTTTACTCAGAGAAGTGTTGCTCCCTCCTCATCCTACTACTCAGTTTCCATTTCCCTCTTCTTTCTTTCCCTTTCCCACTCCATCCCCATAAGGATCCAATCTCTTCAGTTGCTACATTATCCTTTCTATATTTCTTTTGTAAAATGAGAAGATACAAATACATTCTTTCTTTTTTTTAAACCATACCAGTTTCTTTTGTTTGTTTGATTTTTTTTTTTTTTTAATTTGGTTGAGTCAGGTCTTAGTTGCAGCAGGCGGGCTCCTTAGTTGTGGCATGTGGGCTTCTTAGTTGTGGCATGCATGTGGGATCTAGTTCCTGGACCAGGGATGGAACCCAGGCCCCCTGCATTGGGAGCGCAGAGCCTTAACCACTGCACAACCAGGGAAGTCCCAGGTACAAGTATATTTTCTTATATCCTCTTGTTTCTTACATGAAGAGTAGTATAGTTTATATACTCTTTTGCACTTAAGAATAGTTATTTTAAAGTCTGTTTCTGAAAACACAATGTGTGTCTGTTTCATTGTCTATTCTCTCTCCCTCCCTCCCTCTCTCAATTTTGTCTTGTCTCATCTCCCTGTATATTTTTCACTAAGGACTGGATCACTGAATATAAAAAATTAGAGAAATAACTAGAAGCCTAGCATGATATTAATTCCTCCAGGGAGGATTTACATTGGCTTCTCTCAGGCATTCAGGAGCAAGAACAATCCAAGTTCACCTTAATCCAGTTTCCAAAACTGAGATGATATAGAGCTGGGCTTCAGTCCCTGCAACGTCAATCCATGGCCAGTGGACCCTTTTTCCTAAGACATAGCCTTCCAGAGTCCCAGTCCAAAACAACGCTTCTTGGCAGGATCTGGACTCCAAGTTTTGTCCTCCAAACCTCAAGGAGCCTCATTTCCCTAGGGATGTGTGGCCCCAAATGCCCTGCTCATCTCCTGGTTGCCTGATTCACTTGGATCTTGGCCCCATATTTTTTTCTGCCTTGTTAGCTCTTTGATGCCTTCAAACAGGTAGTTTGTAATATTTTGTTTAACTTTTCTATTGTCCTTTTGGGTGAGTATGCTTCAATTCTGCCATTATGAAAGCAGAAGTTCCTTCACTGTTTTTCACATTGAGACTAAAATTTTTATTTTATATGTTGTATTTAGTTATTTTAAATATATATATATATTCTTTTCTCAAATTCTAAATTTCTTTTATGTGTTTAATGAGTGCATGTGTGTGAGTGTGCATACACACTGTCCTATTAGCTAAAATTTTTGTTGATCTAATCTTCCTATTTTCTCTATTAACTGTTCCTCATGGTAGATTGTTTCCTTGTGTATTTTGTAATTTGGGATTGTGAAGTTATTTTCAGGAGGTCCCCTCTGTGCAGCCTGAGTTGAGGTCATGCTATCCTAAAGCAATACTGTGTTTGCTTCTAAGAGGCACCCTGCGATACCGCCATCCTGAGACTAGTGTTTTTTTTGGTTTTTTTTTTTTGCGGTACGTGGGCCTCTCACTGTTGTGGCCTCTCCCATTGCAGAGCACAGGCTCCGGATGCGCAGGCTCAGCGGCCATGGCTCATGGGCCCAGCTGCTCCGCGGTATGTGGGATCCTCCCGGACCAGGGCACAAACCCGCGTCCCCTGCATCGGCAGGCAGACTCTCAACCACTGCGCCACCAGGGAAGCCCCTGAGACTAGTTTTTATATTAATTTTTCCTATGGGTTGAGATTAAATGAATACCAAACCCATGTGAGGCACAGCACTTTGGTTTCAAATTCTCATGCATGACTCTTTACCCCATCCTGACCCTAAGCTGAGACAAATTTCCTTGTCATCTTCCAGTGCTGGGAAGATACTTTATCTGGACCATCATTTCCCAAGGGTCTACCACCTCAAGAGTCCTGGCTTCATGCAGGGTCCTGTTTCCAGTTAACTTTCTGCCTGCAAGGCTCATTTTCTGTTCTTATCTGGATGTTAAAACAACCAGTTATTTAATAAGACCAGCCGTTGCCCCACTTCACCGCTACCACTTGCCCGACAATCGCTGGATCAGCTCACAAGCTTATCACTTGGGTTCTCAGTTTTCCCTTTGTTTTTGGCCCCCAGGAATTTCCTTTATTTTCTTGAAGGCACTGTGGTGCTTTTAAAGTAATGTTTATTATAAATATTTTAGTCTGCATTTCTAGGTACTTTTTTATAATATCTTTTTTTTTACATTTTATTTTATTTTTGGCTGCATTGGGTCTTCCTTGCTGCGCATGGGCTTTCTCTAGTTGCGGTGAGCAGGGGCTACTCTTACTTGCGATGCTTGGGCTTTTCATTGCAGTGGCTTCTCTTGTTGCAGAGCATGGGCTCTAGGCGTGCAGACTCAGTAGTTGTGGCGCATGGGCTCTAGAGCACAGGCTCAGTAGTTGTGGCGCACGGGCTTAGTTGCTCCGTGGCATGTGGGATCTTCCTGGACAAGGGATCGAACCTGTGTCCCTTGCATTGGCAGGTGGATTCTAAACTGCTGCGCCACCAGGGAATAGGTCTTTTTTTTTTAATACTTATTTGGCTGAACCGGGTCTTAGTGGCGGCATGCGGGATCTTTTAGTTGTGGCACGTGGGATCTAGTTCCCTGACCACGGATCGAACTCGGGCCCCCTGCATTGGGAACGCAGGGTCTTAACCACTGGACCACCGGGGAAGTCCCATTTCTAGGTATTTGTAGGGGAAGGCTTTCAGGTTATCTAACCTACTGTTGCTAGAAATAGAAGTTAAACAATTTTTTCCTAATCGTAATCAGCACTATCACGGTGATACAAGAGGACAAGTCTGAATTTTTTTTTTTTTTTTTTTTTTGTGAACAGTGAGCAGAACTGCCCTACTATGCAAGTTTTGGACAATAAAGATTCTTCCCCTTCTTCCTTGTCTCCCCAAGAAACATCCAGAGAACATTCTAAAGGCCGATCTGCCTGTGTCCACTTCAGCCCCAGTGAAGGCAGTGATGGAAACAGGCGTCCAGGAGCCTCCTCTGTCGAGAAGTCCAGAGGTGAGACAGTTGGCGAGAAGCAGTGTGACAAGGGGAAAGGCTCCTTGAAGCAGCCCTCCTGTGTCAGGGCGTCTGGGCCTGCTGAGGAAGGAGAGGATCCCAGTTGGGCAGCTGCAAGCCTTCCACAGCAGGACGGCCACTGGAAGCCCAGCCGGCGGCAGGATGCAGCACCCAAGGCCAAATGTGCCTCCCAGAAAAGGCGCAGCCAGGAGCTCAGAGGAGGGAGGCGCTCCCCGGCTGGGTCCAGCCGGCCTGGCAGTGCCAAGGGGGAGGCCGTCCATGCTGGGCAGAGTCCTCTCCACCACCGGATGCCAAGAAACACAGTGACGCAGGACAAGCTCGCAGGAGGGACCCACTCAGATTTGCCATCGAGCACAGAGGTGTTGAGGTCAGGAGTCAGGAAGCTGGGTACATCCGCCCTGTTGGAGGACACTCAGCTATCTAAGGAGGCTGATCCAGCACCTGGTCCCCTCTCTGGGCAGAGTGTGAATATTGACCTTCTCCCCGTAGAGCTGCGGCTGCAGATAATCCAGAGAGAAAGAAGCAGGAAAGAGCTGTTTCGCAAAAAGAACAAGGCAGCAGCGGTCATCCAGCGGGCCTGGAGAAGGTAGGAAGATGGGATGCCACCGCATCTTTTTGGCTCTGTGTCTGTCCTAATCCCCCTGATGTGATACCCCCTGTGCTCTGTGATACTTTCTAGTGAATTCCATGTGCTGGCATGACAAGGCCAATTTTATTGAGCCAACCCATGAGAGTCACACATGGGTATATCTTAGTAATTTATATTGGGTAAGCTATTTGGAAGGTGTTTTTACCCAGAAAGATAGGAAAGTACCCAGGATAGCCTGGTGTAAATGAAAAACCATGAAGCCTAAGTTTCAGGTGAAGCTCGAAGAGGTTATCTGACCTTGAGCAAATCACTCAGCCTCCCTGACCCTCAGTTTCCTCCTCTGTAAAATGGGATTTAACAATTGCCACACCCGTCCTGTTCACGTGACAGGTTGCTAGAATGAGATGACGTGTGCTTTGTAAATTCTAAAGCACTACACATTTAAGGTATTTTATCTTCCTTCTTTACTACACAGGAATTAGATACAGTGGATTAAGTGACTGAAATTTATCACCAAAACCTGTGTGAGCCTCAGTCAAGCTCAGAATGTGGGGTAGGAGCTGGGAGTGGTGGAGGAGGCTTACCGGAACCCTGAGGTGAACACCCTCAGGGGGTAATTCTGGGAGGACTGGAAGAGTGCTGTGCTACAAGTTTTCACATATCTCACAGTCTCCTTCACACTGCAGGCCCCAGGAGGGCCTCCATCCAGATTAGGCCTTTCAGTGATGACCACGCCCAGGGGAGGGCCGGACCCTCGGCCCCAGGTGGGGGTCATGTGGTCTCCATCTCCAGAGAGAGGGAGTTTTACGGGGGAACAAAGCAAGCAGATCACTACGAGTGCAGGTGTGCCTCTGTCAGGAGATAAAAGGGCCAAAGAAACCCTGCTGTTGGCAGAGGGAGAGCTGAGCGGCTTGTGAGGTCCAGGGAGAGGCCTCAGGGACTGTCATGCCAAAGCCTCCTAACCCAGAGCCGGGCGACCTGCACGGCCTTCGCTATAGTGCGTCTTCACATCTGTTCAGGCTCGTGGCTGTTTACAAAGTCGTCTCACGCCTGACCCCTTTGCTCTCCCAACCATCGCCAGGAAGCCGTCACGATAGGGATCAGCATCCCTGTTTTTCAGACAAGCAATGGTCTCGGGAAAAAAGACCTGTCCTGATGGTCAGACCCAGCACTCGAAGTTCTTTCTGACTTGAGTCCAGGGGCCTTTCCCTTACATTCTCAGTAAAGGTAGTGTCTGCTGTGGTCAAAATAATGGAGGCGGAGGCCGACCTTGCACTCTGCACCTCAGGACAGGCTGGAGGACAGGCTGCCTGGATGGTCTCTCATGCATCAAGGTAATGTTGTTATGGGGGATGTTGTTGTTAGCACTGTTACTAATACTGGTAGTTGAATTCATCAGGCACTTGGGCCGGACACTGTTCTAAGCAGTTTTACGTGTATTAACTCATTTAAAATCCTCAGTCACCCTGTGAGAGATACTGGGATTACTGTTCTTCTCCCCATTCCGTGAGTGAGGAAACTGAAGCACAGATAGGTTCATCAACCTCAGGCTCCAGAGCCAGCGCTGGCCTGCAGCTGAGACCGTCGGCCTCTGAAGCCACAGATGGGAAGGGTCCCTGCTCCCCCTCCTTGGGGCGTTCTGCCAGGACATGCACTGGCTACCATCCCAGAGGAACTTTTTGTGAAGTATTTCAGCTGACACCTGGGGTCCAAACAAGCCCACAAGGTTTGCCACGTCAGGCCCCACAGCTGCTCCCCAGCTGCAGTGCCTCCCCATCACACTGTCCTTTGACTCCTTTGAAGAGTCAGCAGCTGACAGGTCCTGTCAGTAAGTGTCCATAGCAGCAAATGAGCCTTCAGTCATTCCCCCCAAGAACAGTGGACTCATAGTCTGTGCACCTATCTGGGGAGGCAATTACACAGGCCCCCTCTGGCTGCACCACTGTGCAATTCCGAGTCCCGGGACATCGACTCCCAAAGGGTTTCTGGGAAGTTGCACACCGTGGCAAGTCCTGTGTCTGGTGACAGTAAAAATCCTTTTATTGATTCCGCTATGGCCATATATGTCTTCCATTTGAAGCACAGGAGCCCTAAGTGCTGTCCGGGGACGGTGTGTGGTGTCCGACAGCAAACCTCAGGGGCACCGAGGGCTGGAGTTGGGAACGGGGCTTGGCACACGACCTCCCATAAATGCAGGCCGCCATCACAGGAGACGTGCCCGGGGGCGGCGGAGAGGCAGGCTGACTGGAAAACGCACAGGATGGGGTGAGCAGATTGAACCTGGGGCCCAGAGAAAATGAAGCTTTGTCTAAGCGTCTGAGTTTTGTTACCAGTCAAGACTTGACTATTTTAAAGGTTGAAACTGGATACTGGACAAGCTAGGCTGGGCTGGAAAGTTGCTGTGGTGAAGAGGAGTTGCTGTGTAAGGCAGTTCCCATCGGGTCCTCTCCAGCATGTTCTGAGGTGAATAAACAAGGTTAGGCTAGACCATAACAAGCGCCCTGCGCCCCGGGCTGAAAGGGATGATTGGGTGTGCTCGGATTCTCAGCAAACCGGGCGCGCACGTTCTCCCTGAGAAGGGGAGAACAGAGGCTGTGACTGACCACTAGGACCATGAGACACAGCCTCGGTCTCCATACCAGAGTCGATGAGGTGGCAGCTGTGCCCCCCCGAAAGCCGGAGCTGTTAGAGCTTCAGCCAACACCCAGGCTTCCTGACAAGTCCTCTGCCCACAGAGCGGGGGTGTGGAAGAACTGACTGCAGAGCGGTATTGTCCTGTTAACTCTCGCTTCTCTCTACACTTGGCTTTTTGGAAATGTGGTACATGTTCTAGTAAAGGGGTGCCACGGTTTGTCACGCCCCAGGAAAAGAAAGGAAGAAGGATGTAGTTCGACTGAAATCAGCCTTTAGGGCAGGAGGGAGGGGCTGCCCCAAGCACTGCAAGGAGCTTCGAGCATTTGGGAAGAAGCTTATGTCCCGGTTGGTGTATTGTAACATCAGGCACAGGGCCTGCTGCTCTCTGCACCCTGTAGGCTCACCAGTAGTTAATCAGCCATGGATCCTGAACACTGGTGCAGCTTTCCTTAGGAGGCTCCGAAACATCTGTGCTCAATAAGAGGTTTGGGAGTGCACATGGGATAAACACCATGCGAAAAGCACTAGAGGTAAATATAGCCATCATCCTGGTGCCCCTCCCCTCTCTCCCGCCCCAGGCTCTGCCCTCCAACACACTGATCTTAGTAAAATTCAGCTCTTACATTTGTCACTATTCTTAAAACCCCCTGATCATCCCCACCAAGTCCTCAGCAGTATTTGGCTGTTGGACCAGACAGCACTGATTTGGAATGTTGGCCTCTCCTAACTCTAGCTGTTCGCTTTTCCCCCCGATTTTTATTGTGATAGAATTGACATATGGCGCTGTATAAGTTTAAGGTGACAGCATGGATTTACATATACTGTGAAATGATTACCACAATAAGTTTAGTTAACATCCGTCATCTCACACAGATAAAAAGGATTTTCTTCCTTGTGATGAGAACTCTTAAGATTTACTCTTTAACAGCTTTCATATATACCATAAAGCAGTGTTAGCTACAGTCATCATGCTGTACGTTACATCCCCGGTACTTATTTGTCTTACAACTGGAAATTTGCACCTTTTGATCACTTTCATCCAATTCCCCTCCTCTAATAACCACAAATCTGATTTCCTTTTCTATGAGTTTGGGTTTTTTTGTTTTTGTTTTTGAAGATTTCACGTGTAAGTGAAATAATACAGTAGTTGTCTTTCTCTGATTTATTTCACTTAGCATAATGCCCTCAAGGTCCATCCATGTTGTTGCAAATGGCAGGATTTCCTTCTTATTTTAGGCTGAATAATATTCTACTGTGTGTATATATAATATATATAATAATCTAATGTGTGTGTGTGTATATATATATATATATATATATATATATATATTCCACAACTTCTTTATTTGTTCATCCATCAGTGGACACTTAGGTTGTTTCCATGTTCTGGCTATTGTAAATACTACTACTATGAACATAGGGGTGCAGATGTCTCTTCATTTCCTTCAGATATACACCCTGTAGTGGGATTGCTGGATCATATGGTAGCTCTATTTTTAATTTTTTGAGGAACCTCCATAGTGGCTGCACCAATTTACATTCTCACTAACAGTGCAGGAGGGTCCCGTTTTCTCCACATTCTCACCAGCACTTTTCTCTTGTCTTTTTGATGACAACTGTTCTAATGGATGTGATATCTCATTGTGGGTTTTTTTATAGATTTATTTTTATTTTTGGCTGCGTTGGGTCTTCATGCTGCACGGAGGCTTTCTCTAGTTGCAGTGAGCAGGGGCTACTCTTCGTTGTGGTGCGCGGGCTTCTCAGTGCTGTGGCTTCTCTTGTGGAACCCGGGCTCTAGGCACACGGGCTTCAGAAGCTGTGGTGTGCGTGCTCAGCAGTTGTGGCGCACAGGCTTAGTTGCTCCACAGCATGTGGGATTTTCCTGGACCAGGGATCAAACCTGTGTCCCCTGCATTGGCAAGCAGATTCTTAACCACTGCGCCACCAGGGAAGTCCCTCTCACTGTGATTTTGATTTGCATTTCCTTGATGATTAGTGATGTTGAACACCTTTTTATATACCTGTTGGCCATCTTTATATCTTTGGGAAAATTTCTATTCAGGTTCCTTGCACATTGGATTATTATTATTATTATTATTTGCTATCTAGTTGTATGACTTCTTTATATACTTTGGATATTAACCTCTTATCATATACATGGTTTGCAAATTTTTTTTTTGTATTTGTAGGTTGCCTTTTTTATTCTGTTGATCATTTCTTTTGCTGTGCAGAAGCTTTTTAGTTTGATGTAGTCCCACTTATTTTTTATTTTGTTGCTTATGCTTTAAGTGTTGTATCTAGGAAATCACTGCAAAGACCCACGTTACGGAACTTTTTCCTGTGTTTTCTTCGAGGAGTTTTGT